GAGAGAGAGAGAGAGAGAGAGAGAGACAGAGACATATCCATAAACGTAAGAATGCTGACCACTACTTACTGAACATAAGCCAGTCATTTAGGAAAAGAATAATAGACACGATACTGAATTTCTCTGTTGTATATTTTAACAATAACAATCAAATCCAAACGGGTATTTCTTCAGCTTCAGGTACACTGGTCCTCGCTTCCCACAATAGCAGCGATCCAGGCGAGATATTCTGCGTGTAATAGAAACACCATTAAGTGACAATGTATTAGGTGTAACAAGGCGTTTGTGTTGGTAGTCGAAGCCACTTTAATTAAGACTTGTTTGGTATGATGACAGCCTTGAGAAGAAAAAATGTCAAATGCTAATTCTAAACTTATAATTACATAATCGAAATGGAACCGTATACATCAACAAACGTTTTTTATCATACATCATTTATTATTTCTCTATATTAACATTTAAGTCGAGTGAAAGTTCTAACGACACCAAACAACACTTACAGCGAACTCTAAACCTTTGGAATTAATTCTAAATAAACACAGAGGTGATATTAAGGTCAAAGAAAAAACGAAGTGCGATTCAATCTCCTCAAAACCTAGTTCTCTTCCTCGTGGTTTGGTCACTTCTAGTCACGTTTACTAGTGTTAAAAGCCTGTTACATTTTTACACTACATGTACCCTTCCAATGACTTTATACTAGTCTGTCTGTATGGCGTATTACAGTCTGTATTAGTCTATTACATTCTATGTATCTTCCCACTATTATATTCTATGTATCTTCCCACAGCTCTTGTTACAGTTCCTCCTTCCTACCAATAGAATTACAATTTATATTACGTACAATCTATATATCTCTTCACATGTTTTACAGTACATTCTTTCAGCCTATTTATCAATACGGTCTATCTATGGTACTTTTGTCATCTTTCCTACCAATTCATAGCATTACAATTTATATTCCGTACAATCTATATCTCTCCACATGTTTTATAGTACATTCTTTCTGCCTATTTATCAATACGATCTATCTACGGTATTTTTACATAATGGAATATGCATCAGCCTACCTCACAGAGCCTTTGATCACCGTCAGAGAAAAAGGAATGAAGGAGTGTGAATAATACAACAGGTGTGAGTGTCTTGTGTAGAACTATTCCTCAATTCAAGTTTTTTTTTTTGATATACTGATTTCTTTTTACAGCGGTAGAGGTAGGAATGATCTCAAATAGATAAATCTGCAAATTCCAATAGATAGAACTTTCTGGTAAATACAAAAAAGAAAAAATAATCGAGGAAATAGAATAATCCAAGTCTGATGTTACATAATTTTAAGTACATATTCTTAAGTACATAAAAAATAAGCCCAAAAAATAACAATTCATGCAAAAAAAAAAACGAATCAATACGTACAGACATAAATACAACGAACATAAAAAATACCAACACAAATCTACCAAATCTACAACAAAATTAGCCAACACTCACGTACCTGTCACCCTTGTGTAGACACCCGGTTTCCCAGGCCTTGCGCAGCCCGTTCCCCAGGAGACCACGCCCACTTGCTCCAGTCCGGATACCCCCGCTGTTACCAAGGGCCCTCCGCTGTCGCCCTGGGGTACACCAGCGCGGATTTCTTTACATTCGGTGAGAGAGAGGGAGAGAGAGGCGGGGAAGGAGGGGAGAGAGAGAGGGGGGAAGAAGGGAGGGAGGGGAGAGGG